TGTTGAAGTAAATATAATAATTGCTCTAATCGATTAAAAATTATATGAAACAGGGTAAAAGTTATGTTTCTGTTTGTTAAACAAATATTTAAAATTCTACCTCGCTTATTTTAGAATCGAATATCCTTTTATCTATTTATTAAACATGAGAAGCATTTTTTTGTCTTAAGACGCAAGGTACGACCCTAGGATTGTTTTTCACATTACTTCAGGTTAGACCTAGGGGTGCATTATTATGCAGATAAAATCTATTGGTGATTTGCAGGGTTTCAACTGGGGACCTCATAGACTGAAGTTCCACACTCTAACCACTAGACCAGTTTGCACCCCATAAGAAGCATTAGGCAATTAATTATTACTTAAGTAAAAACTTAAGTTAACGTTATATCGGCAAAAACCATTAGTAAAGAAAATAAACTTTATTGAGTAAGGTTGTAGATTGGTAATTTTGTTGCTAACACTAAGTAAACTAGGTTAGAAAAATGCTGACAACAACACAAAATTAATATCGACTACAAACTGCAAATTTGTATGCAATTTATTAATTCAATTACTATGAAAACAAGTATTTGCTTATCGTGAATTAATATTAAAAATAAGTATGATAATTGAATCAACTAGGCCTGCACTTTTTTTATCTTAATAAATGCTTTGAGCTCTAAATCAACGAACTATCAAATAAGCTTAGTGTTAGCGACAACTTTTCAGCAACTCAGCAAGAAGTAGGTTCTTGACTAACTAAGCCGTTCTACTGCTTATCCACAAATGCATCGACGCTAGCGGATTTGTTGATAGTCTATTGCAAGTACTAGCTTACACTACACACTGCATCTGTATTAATAAGATGCACTTTAATTCTGTAAAACCAATCAGATATTGACTAGATAACTGAAGTAGAGTAAAAAATACATTTCTGGTTTTATGTATTGATTTGGACTCAAATTGAATGTTGGGAACGAATGTCAACATTTTAATATCAGGGACTGGCAAATACTTAAAAACTGGAAGATCTTACCCGCGTAATAGCTAAATCAACATTTTTTATTTTAAGAAAGACTTCGATTATCTAATTGTTTATCAAAATTTGTAATACAAATTACATGAACTAAACTGGATTTATTACAAAGAAACAAATTACCATATGTAATTTTTCCGGGGTCGAAAGTAAACAGTGTTAAAAACAACACAAATTTAATGAATGACATAATAACATCTGTTGTTATTTTTCATCATACTGCAGCAAAAACAGCCTTTTTCAATGGATGCGTTATGGGTCTAAAGTATCTTTTCTACTCTCTAGGGAGTAAAAAGCGTTTTTAGCTGTTTAAAGCATTAGCAAATTAAATTGAAAACAAGTTTTGAGAGGTTATCATCTTTAAATGAAATTTATTTTAGTTTTGTAACATAGGCTAGTTTGTTCAAATAAAGATGCAATATGACAAAAATACAGTTCATCAAACCGGCATAAAGTGTCCTTTCAACTTCAACCCTCCCTCATTTTCCGATCTCGGCTTTGCCTCAATCGTAAAAGTAGAGCTCGGGTTAAAAATAGTCACTTTTGGCCCTAGTGATAAAATATACTATTATATGGTGAAAACCCGCCCTAAAAATACAAATAAAACTAAAAATGAAGAAAACATCACCGATATACATGTTATATGACCGTAGTAAGTATAGTTACATGAAAACCTGGTGTTGCTCATTTGCTGACTAATAAATTCCTAAGAAATACATTTTACGAGATTGACAACTTTATTTAGATGACATTTTTTTCCAGCAAACAAGACAGGGACAGCAGTAAACAAGGTGTGTAAACAATGGTAGGCGACTGAAACTAATTACGGTTACGGGATGTCTGGACCAATTTACTCTCTCATTACTCGTGGCACACTTCTTCCCGTCTTGATTAGGGAACGTCTTTGTCTTCGCGTAAAGCTATTTTTAAAAGTGTAAAATCAAGAGCAGAGCCGTTTCTCCCTGACATCCTTCAATCAATACAGTGTGATGCTAAATCAAGCGTGTTCGACATGTTTTGGTGTAGTAATTTTTAAAATGGTAACCTCTTCGGGGCTATACAAACTTTATTTTTAAGGGTGTTATAAGTTGCCTGTAGCCTAATTGTGCTTGGTAGGTATAGTAGTTTTTTCCAATAGTAGGCCTATATTGTACGCTGAATACCGAAATACAAGATAACAAGCCGCCTCTCTAAATCTGAAGCTGCAACTAAGTGTACAATTTTATGAAGAAACTTAGTGTTAATGGCAGTTTGGACGAGTCCGAGTTGTAAATATGACCGTAACCAAAAATTTGAATGGAAAGGGAACCTCTGTAAGGAGCAAACAGCAAAATTGATGATAAAAAATGTATTTGTTTAGACAACACACATTAAAATAAATTTAACTCTTTACCCTCACAACATAAAAATGAATGAGAATAATAATGATCTAACTTTGGCCTGTAATAACATAATTTTTGACAAACAAAAAACACCTATGCGAAATGAATAAAATTCATCTTAAAGCTTTGAATCTTGAAACTCACCAGTCGAATCTCAAAACCCAAATATTTCCATAGCTTTAGTAAGTTAGCCTATTTTTGAGATTTGAGATTCGCTTTTTACACATTCTAGTACCTATCTTCCTTCTCTTAGTCATGGTGATTTTGGTTGTGGGTTTTGATATTTTCTTCAGATATACCATGAATTAAATTTATGCGAATGTAAGTGGAATTAAATCGGAAACTCTGGTGAATAGGTAAGCCAGGTTTGATTGATTCAATTGATTTGCATAACAGATGTTTGGGTAATACAAACACACAGTGGCATTTCTCCGCTAACGATTAAGGCAAAATTATTCAGTAAACAATCATTATCTTGTAGGCCTACTGTGTTGACAGTTAATATTTATTTTTGTTATTTTATGCACAAGGAAAATAATTATGCAGATTACATTGCTTACCAAGCGATGCGGAAAATAATAGGGGAAATGATCCGTGGTTGATTGTTTAGCTGGGAAATAGTTTTGTGTCAAGGTAGTGTATGAATAGGTCAATTGTATATCTTCTCAGGTTTCTATTATAATTTGCAAAGTCAAACTATGATTTGTCGTTGAATTTTGATTGGAGTTAAATACATAATGTCAATTAGTATTAATTGTATTCTCATATGTAAAATTCTTCATCTTCATAAATATGCAATTTGGAATGTAAGCTTATCACTGCTCCATTTATTATTGTACCGATGTGTTGACAAAAATAAGTCATTTTGTAGTAATTTAATAATGTTTATGCAACAGAAGAGAGTTTTTTTGACTAAGAGATTTGCTGGAACCTTTTTTAATTCACTGAGAATTTAAAAGAGAAAACAAATTTTTTTACCAGTTACTTCTAAACATACTTTTCATGTACAAATTAAACTTAATTTGAATAGAGTTTCTTAAGCCACATATCTCATTTTGTTTTTGAACAATGTTGCTAACATAATAAATCACTCACATTTCTTTCAAAAATAACCCACTTTTTGGAAGATCAACTCCGCCCTTTTCATGGTTCCTTTTTTATGGTTGGTTTGATAATTTTACTTTTCAAAAAAGAGCCAAACAGTTTCAGTAGGAGAAAATTAGCAAAAAGTCTGGCTATAAATTTTGATAAGGCTATAAATAAGTGTTTATCAATAATGCACAACATCTACTGTCCTCATCAGTAGTTTGAAGAAATACACTATAAATTTTGATTTATTTATCTGGGTTAGGTCCATAAATGTTTCTCACAACGCCTGGGTCAAAGTCCTACAAACCATTAAACAACTGCTATGAAAAAGTTTAGTATAGATAAAAAGGTAAACATATTTGAAATGTACTCTTTGTTGTTAAAATTCTAAAAAGACCAGGTTAAAATTCCACCACAAAATATAGCAAGATTCTCACAAGCCGTGAACAATAATTAGAACCTTGGTTTAAAAAAAAAAAACACAAAATATGATAACAATTTTGGGAGACAAAGCAAGGAGTAGGTTAGAGGTATTACCATACGAGGCAAGCAATTCGGTCTTACGACTACCCATCTACGTACCACCATTACATGCTTTACCCATGTTCCACAACAGGGTAGGCTATTGGAAGGGAGAATTATTTGCGTCTTCAAATCTACCGTGGGAAACAGATACAACCACTAAATTGATTGTTGAAATAAAACTCAGTTGTACCACTTAGTTTTGTAGAATGCACTTTGTTTCTGGTTTAATTAAGTTGTGTAGCAGATTTAAAATGAATAAATATCGAAATGTGAACATAAATAATGTGAACGTAAATACAGTAATGCAAATATAAACATTGTAATTTTTCATTTCCTTATAGAGATCAATCAATATTTACCTATATGCTCCTCTGTTAACTTTTGACATCCACTAGGCACAACCATAGACTAACCAACACAAGTAGACTTATCATCCCATTGTAAATTTTGAAGCTTGTTTTTGTGTCTAGTTTATGTATGGTGACACTATGCGCTACTGTCGACTAAATGTTGTTTTATTTTAGGGTTAATTTCTTCACTTGTGCTATACTGTTTGGTTGTATAACTAGGGGGCAGGTTATTGTTTATGATTAGATCGTATTAATTGATTAAACAAGGTTTTGAATTACTAAAATAGCAAGAAACAAATTGTAAACAAAACACGACCCCTACAACAGTAGGCCTACACTATACAGAATTAGCAATAACATTTTTTTCAGCCGTTCCATAAGGATGAGAAATCTACTAAGGGAGTATGTTTTATCCATGGCACAACTTAAGGGGATTTGAATAAACTAAGGTTTTTTGCCAAGTTTGTGATCTACATTATTTTTCAATAAGTCCAGTAGGTTGAAATAAACACTTGAACTGGCATAACAGAAACCACTTCTACAACATTATAATTACAGATTTAGAATGTATGCTATAATGTTTTGTCCTGCACTTTGCTTTTTTTATTCTGAAATGTTACCTGGTGGTTTTGTTCCCAGGTCCACCCATCTAGAATGCTGGAATGTTTCCTACTTTCTGTCTTCAGACCCACCCTGAGGACAGAATAGTTCCTGGCATCCTTTTAGCAAAAAAATGACCACCATGAGGTAAGTTTGGTATTATTCGTTCAATCACTAATGACAAGTTTTTCATCTCGTTCTATTTATAGGGTAAACAAATATATATATATTGATCCCCTCTTTTCTTAGATCAATTTCACAATAATTATTTGAAATAATTATCCTAACAAAATTTATTCAGTTTACTACTGTTCAAAGTTTTTCAGACCTGATCAAGGTTTCCAATTTTCTTTTAATTAGTGGGTAGTGTGTTTGATTGTCCTCGTTTACTACAACTACAAGATGTTAATCATTGGGTGTTTTTGTAACGTAGTCTACCTTTTACTGCTTAAAGGGTTACACGGGATACCTACATGCGAGAAGGTTTTAAGGCTGAGTGTAAAACAAAAGATTTAGTCAAAAAGAGGCTTAGGTTTAGCATTCACTGACAAGATTCGGATTACCTTTCCTTTTGGTCCCCTAAATCGTCTTGTATAGTTACATTTGCACTTGATTCCTTAATCAGGTGCATAAATAATAGGTTGATTCCTTAATCGTTGTCGTCCTTAATCCTTAGTTTGTTGTATGAATTCATATTTGCTACATTTGAAGTGGATTTATTGTTTACTATTCGTAAAAATGTTTTTTGTGTTCAAGAACACTTCTGAATGTTGGTAGCACTTATAACTTTATAATTTCAATGATGAGCAGTAATGTACAGAATATGTTTTTTAACTGCAAGCCTAGATTAAATTTACAACAGAGTTATCCTAATGGATAAGCTGGAGACAATTTTAAGATACAATTCCTTCTAGAAAAAATCCATATGAAAACCATAAATATTATTAATACTGTATGAAGAGTGTTCTGATGTTCAATACCTTTTTTCAAGTTATTTCTGACTTCAAAAGTATTTAATAAATCAAATGGTCTATTTATAAACTAAAACCCTAGGGTTGTAACTAAAGAGTGAAATGGAAAAAAGGGTAAAATAAGAAAAAAAATTGTTGAAATAAGAGAGTAACATTTAGTCAACATTAGGAAGAAACATAAACATGGACATGAACTTGCATAAAAGAGGCCTTATATTATAAAATATTAGGATGAAAAGTTTGTGTGTCAGTGAATGTATTTGGCCTACATTGGGCTCCGAGTTGCTAAAGGTGCAATTATATTTGGCACAGATTTTGTTAATTGTAGTATTGATATACATTACAAATAATTGTTTCCACGTGAAGGAACAATGTAGATAAAATAGGACGACATAGGCTAATATCTTCTTTAGTATCTCATCACTCTTTCGATGCGGTTTTCATGTTAGAAAGCCATGTTTTGCATTTTGATTGGAAGTTATGTCATACTATTGTGTTTTGTTACTTGTTAATTGTTAATTGAGTGTAGGCTTACTTAAACAATTTTAATGGTGTCTTAAAATGTTTTTGCTATTAAGATTGCATCTACAAGTTTCAGTTTTATTGAAAGTTCAACATTAAAACTTTTAAATTCGCTTAACTTTGTTGTAAAGTAGCATTATTTCAAGAAAATTTTGTATTGGATTTCTTTATCTTAAAATAACGTTGGAGACCTTTTCAATAATGTTGGTGATCCGATTCCACCCTTCTTGTTAATGGATTGTAGGATTAATACTGGCAGTGCCATTAGGCTAATGCGAATTAGAGATGGGTTTTAAAATACTTAATGGCATTAGTTGATTTTATAAAAAAATAACTGTGCCACAAAATAATTGTGCTAAAAATTGTCTGGATATTTTTATATATACTTTCATGAATCACATTGTTTTGATTTTTTTACAGTTTATAGATACAAAATATTACAAACAATAAATACTATAAACGAGTCAGCAAACAATTTAATATGCGGTGGTTTTATTAAAACAAATACAACTTTGTTTCATTTTGTTCAACAGTAACCAAAGTTCCTGCATTGTCGAGTTAGTAATGAATAAAAAACAAAAGGTCAAAAACGTTAAAATTAATGACAGAGTGTTGAGGAAACAAAATTCTTTTGTGTTAAAACAAAGGATTAGTCTGCACAAGGTAGAGGTTTTGTCATAAGTGCTATTAATCCTCAAGTGTGGTAAATGTAATCTCTGTAATAGCTCGGTCATCTTCTACTAATCTTCTTTGGTGCTAACAGCGCTTGCTTTAACGATTCAGTTATTTTCTCTAAAACTGTGAGCATTAGCAAGCGTCCTAGTGTTCTATCATGATTTTTCAGCTGTGTACTGGTGAAATTACCTGCTGCCAAGTGATCCTTGTGCGTGATCCTTTTTCAGTTGATTTTCAAGTACCTAACAATAGGCCTAAACATGTTAGCGAATTTCCCATATAGGGAATAAGCTATTATCGTAGTACTCATGGTAAGACCTGGACGCGGGACCGATTTTTTTTTTTTTTCGTTTTGAGGTCCCTAGAGGCCAAAAACACAATCCGTTCAAATTCATATAGAGATATATATTTAGCCTATATATTTATGTACTAGCTGTGTGCCCGTTCTATGCACGGGGATCTTATAGTAGTCAGTTGAATGTGACAAAAATCACAAAATGTGTTGGGTTTTTGGACATTTGTAACTTTATTTCTTAAGTAGGTAGGCCATGTATTCCATGGAAAAGTGCCGGTATCAAGGATCGTCATCGAAAAGGTTGTTATGAATAAATAGGTAGGCGTACGTACCCAAGAGATGGGCTATGGGCCTATTGGCTGAATGGTCCAGCGATTGCATCACACGGTGAGTAGAAACAGAAAGTGACACATTGGAAAAGCGAGTTTAGCATCATCCGTATACCTCTATTACTTACAATCACCCACTGCAGTTGTGATTTTTTTACTTTACACTTTACACAATCGCCATTGAAGCGCCGTCAGTGAGTGGAAACCTTGTTTGTAAGCTATTGGCGACGATCGCTATAAGTGTCCCAGTCCTATAAAACACTGATTCAAGGTCTTTTTTCTGGTTATCAAAACTCAAGAACAATTTCATACACAAATAATCTCTGGTTCCTGACCTGGATGATGCCTAGTTATTTAATTTCATTTACGGTTACACTATAATATTGCACTTGCGATTAATTAAATCCGTTAAATGTAAGAAAAACTTTTTTAATCTCACTTTGTTTGGGATTTGCTTTCAAAACGTGATCGGAAATGATTGCGGTATTTGTAAACAACATTTGTAAACATATCAGTGACAGCTAGAAAAAATAATCTTGATCCGAACAGCTGTTCGTTATTTCATAAATGATTATGTGATAAAATTGAGCGAAAACTTGGAAAAAATCGCACAAAACTGCATTTTTGAACGTCCGTAATTTTATTTACAAAGTAGTGAGGCCATGTTTTAATGGCTAAAGACACTCTCGCCAATCCAGTGAATACATTAAAATGACTTGGATCTTGATAGGTACTCTCGTTTTCATGGAGAAGATTGCGTAAAATGCCATCTTGAGTGTTACAGAAAGACAGACAGACAGACAGAAATAGAGATAAGACTTGTTTCTGCTTCTTTAATGTATAAAACGTAAAAACAACCTAAAAATATATAATTCTGAGCAATGTACATACAAAACTCTAATTTTATTTACATAGATGTATATATATGTATGTCTGTTAGCGCGATAACTCGAGCAAAAATGATCCGTTATTGATGAAATTTGGTACAAACGTGTAAACCTACATTTATTCGAACGAGTTCGCGATCCAGCATAATCGAACCATGGGGACAGGGGTTTATGGGGGGTTTTATAGGGTAAAAATGGGTTTTTCCCATTTTTGACCCTAAAAACAAAAAAAATTGCAATTTCTTTCTAAATCGTTTTGTAGAGCTTAAAAAAAGAAATAATTTAGTATATGGAAGCGCTGTTGTATACCTAACTGTCGACGTATGGTCAAAAAACACTTTTTATCTTCCCCGTAGCAGCAAATTTAAGCACTCGTTAAATCTAATGTTATTTAAATGGGGAATAAATAACCTATGTCTTATTTATGGAAATATTTTAGTAGAAATATAATCAGACAAGTTGAAATTCGCTTAGTCTGCAGGTTTGCTGCGGCGGGGGTATTTTTTTCTTAAAGGGGGTTAGTACAAATGATCAATTATTGAACGTGAAAATACTTTTACTAAGTGGGTACGATAATCAGGTTAGGGAAATAGTTTGATTGTTTAATGCTTTTAGGGGTAAGGCTGGTAGTTGGAGTGTGGGACTTCTGTCTTGGTGGGGATGGGTTCGAATCTTGCCATTCATCAATGGCTTTAACTATGTGATAATGTTGTGATTTGGTGTTAAAGATTCCACCTTTATGTGTAGGCTATGTTCATCTACAATCAGGAAACAACAAAATAACTATACACCACATTTGATCTTATAACCGTTTCATAAAATAATATTATTGGTAATTTTGTACAATAGGCTATAACTTAAGAAAGAGGAATACATTTATTTAAAAATTGAAATTGTTTGCCTGAAGTTAGATTTATTGTTTACATTGTCTATAGTGCTAGACACAAAATTATTGTTGTAAGCAAGAGGTTGTGTGAAAGGAAATAAGTTATTTCGGCTGTCTTGGCTCCATAGAATAATGGACATGGTAAAATATGAACATCCACTCGGATGTTACGATTGAGAGATTCGAATACTGAAGTTGGAGTCATATACATTCTGTATCAGTTTTATTGATTGTATTCAAAATAAGTGTAAAACATGTAAAAAAAGATTAATGTTGTAGAAATAAATTCAAATTCAATGTAGAGTAAAATTTATTTTACATCAAGGTAGGCACACTAGCGTGAAGTAGGCATTCCATTCCTATGTTAAAGTTGTTGCAGGCTATATAGTTATTTAGCCAGCGGATACTTGAGAAACATTTGTTTACATCTTAAGTCATGTACCTGTATAACTATTGCTGAAAACAAATTTTGACGTTGAATTGTGAATTATGTCACTTTTTAAAGATTCGCTTTCAGTTAGAAAACAATACATATTCAGTATTATTATTCATTTGATTTTTTTTTACTTTTGGATAGCTTAG